TGTGACCGTGGGTGGCAGGGAAGTGACCAGGCAGGAGCCTGCAGCACAGGCCCCGCCTCCCAGAGCCCACCCTCCTCGCCCCCCCACCGTGGGCCCTCTCATCTGCCAGGTCCCTCTTCATCTGCCAATCAGGAGTGTTGGCTGGCACTCACCAGGACCCTCGGCCCCGGCCCAACTCTGCCACCCAAGGGCCCAGAGCAGGAGAGAGGCCAGCGAGGGCCACGAGGCCATATGCAGCAGCCAGGCAGGAGGACCCAGGGAGTGACCTGGGAGGAAGGGGCAGGGCTGACCGAGGGTGAGCACACCAACCCTGTCCCTCTGCTGCTCCTCCTGGTGTCCTGGGTGAGCAGCAGCAGCGGTCCTCCGCCCCTACCTGTGGCCTGGAAGGAAGGATCCCCTTTTCCTGAGAGCGCTCTGCGGGGCTGTCACTTGCGGGCCTGCCCAGGGCGCCTCACCCCTCAGCCTGTGGTTGGGGAAACCGAGGCCCAGACCTCCCTGAGCCCCCCAGGTGTCTCCCAGACCACCCCTCCTTGGAGGTGGCTTGGAATCAGTGGCCAGTGGGTGGAGGGTGGGTGAGGGATGCGGTGTTCAGTTCCTGGGCATCCCTGTGTCCAGCATCACATTTTACCTCACAGACGCCAGTGGGAGGCTGGTGGCTACAGGCTGGGCCGAAGCCCCTGCACTTCAGCAGCTGAAGACCCTGGAGCACAGGCTTGGCACCAGGGGCTGAGGGGGTCGCCACACACAGGAGAAAATGCCCACAGGCGTCCGAAGGAGGAAGGAGAGACCTAGGCCTGTCCACCACACACTGAGTGAGCCTAGGACCAGAAGCCTGAGTCACAGTGCACGGAGAGCAGCAGGAGTCCTGAGGCACGGTGGCTCGGTGGCACGGTGGCACAGTGGCACGGTGGCACAGTGCTGGGAAACAGTAGCCTTGGTCACGTCAGAGCCGTGCATGTCCCAGCAGGCCACACCAGAGGGTTTGCCCCAGACAGAGGCCTGTGCCACACCAAGGCTGCATGCAAGCAGTCACCTGACCCACTGTGCCCAGAAACGGTGGGGTCCCCAGTGGGAGAGGCTTCTGAGCTCCGGGTGTGCGTGGCGTCACAGAGGAACGACAGGGAGCCCAGAGGTGCTCACAGGGGCCTGAAGGCGGTCGATTCCTGCGACCTCAAGGAAGAATGGCCCATCGCCCCTCAGGGAAAAGACAAACCAGCTGCCCAGCCGCTGCCCTGCAAGCACCAGGCTGTCCCTCTCAGGCTGGCTTCCCCTGCAGGACAGCAGATGGGGCCTTTGGACTCCTTTTGCAGCCCTGAGCTCATGAGTCCGGACCTGTGCACTACTTCCCACCTGTGGGCACAGACGGGAGGCCCCGGCTCTGCTGAACAGGGAGACCTGAGTGCAGACGCTCGCCCGCTCCTCCCTTCTGTTCTGGGACAGGTGAGCACCTGTCCTCGGACTCAGGATCAGCTGGGGCTGCCGTGAAGACACTGTGTGAGCTTGGCGCCTCTGGGCCTGGTTTTCGGGCTGTAAAACCAGCGGCTGGAGCAAGGTGATCTCCCAGCTCACCCTCCAGGACTCCCCGACCCCTCAGTGCTGCCAGCAGGTCCAAACGAAGCGAGCACCTACAGGCCCCAACCTATCGCTATGTCCAGGGTCCGACCTCAGTGGCAAAGGCGTCTCCTCCCAAACTATTTACCCCCCCGCCTCCGATTAGGGCTAATTTAATGTGCTCTGCAGTGATCGGGAGTGACTGCTTCGGACCAACGGCCTCATCAAAACCTTGTTGCTGTATTTAATCTGGAATTAAACTGTTTGCTGTTCAAGGTCTGGTGTGAGCACTTCATGAAAGATTGATTGTTTTCCTTTATGAGGCTGTGATGCTAATTGCTCGTTGTTGTGTGGGTGGTGCAGGAGGAAGAGGCTGATTAAGAAAATAAGAGGACCTGAGCTCCCGGCGGCCCGGTCAGCCCAGCTCTCTGCTGCAGGAGAGGGTGGGGGCTGCAGCTGTGTTTGCCTGGGCTCTTCCCCCACTGGAGACCACATCCACGCTCAGGCCCTTAGCCACCTCAAACCACTAACACCCTGGATAGGAGCTTCTGCCCACAGGGCTGGGAAGCCCAACCTTGGGAACTGACCCTCAGTAAATGAGAAGATGCCCATCACCCAAGCTGGGACTCCGCCCTGCCCAGAGGCACTCCTCAGAACCCTGCCTCCAGATGGACATGTCCTGTGTCACAGGCTCCAGCCTGAGCCCTAGGTCAGGAAGGCTGATAAACAGAACCCCATTACCATTCTACAAACCTTGAAGGACCAACTGCCCATCCTGGTCTTCTTCAGAGCTGCCCAAATCGACTCGACTATAAAACGTTTCTCCACGAGCATCCCTGGGGCCTTGACTCTGCTTGTAGTACATCAGAGTAGAAAACTAAGCACGCACAGGGTGTGGACACCATCAAAGTTCACGAGGGTTTTTGAGGAGGAAAGTCTTGCTCTCTTAGGTCCGGCCTCTGGAGGCATGCAGATTAACTGACAAAAGACGGACTGGTGAGAGAAGAGGGGTACAGATTTTATTAATATTTACACGCACAGAAAGAAGTTCAAAGGCAATAAGTAAAACTCAAAGACACAGACCCCAGGGTTTAGATTCAATCTTAACAAAGAAGAGGAGACTTGGGCTTGACGGATGGCGAACAGTGGAAAGGCGCAGAGGCACGGGGAGCGAGCCTGGTGGAAGGGGAGAGCTGTTATGGGCCTGCTCTCAGGCTCCTCTGGGTGCCACCTCTGCAGCTCCAGGCACAGTGAGGTTTATGTCTTGCTTTTAGGTAGGAAGAGGAGGGAGGAGAACCCATTCTGGTCTGATTCTCAATTGCTTTCTTCTTAAAGTAACTCTCCTGCCAAGGTGGCATGGGTTAGGTGGCCCATCCTGGTGCCCTTCAGGGTCCAGAGGGGGAGTTCACCCTGAACCTGAATCAGAGCAGACTGTGCAGCGTGGGGGCCTCATCAGACTTCTAAGCTGAATGTGGCCAGATTTGAGCTCCACATGTGTCCCTGGCGGAGTTTGGCTGTAACAGCAGAAAAATGGGACAAGCTAAAGGTCGAGCCACAGGATCCGACAGCAAACCGGCTGCATGCATGCGATGACGCCCGCTGCCGCCCGCACACGGGGCAGCCACACTGTGGTGAGAGGGGAGGTGCAGTGGCAGCCCGAGCCAGGGCCCTGCTGGGGATGGATGGCAGGACAGACTGGGCGGACAGGTACCCCAGAGGGGCTGGGACGTGGGGGCTGGGCCGCCTTCTCACTGTGTCTGAGCACCTGCCTCAGCAGCAACTTGCTGACCTCTCTCTGAGCTGCGACTCAGAGAACGACCAGGCCCCAGGATGTGACGGGGCAGCTGGTGCCTCTGGCTCAGGCCCATCCCAAGGTCCAGCCTCCCGCCTCAAACTCAGTGACTGGAAATGCAACGTGGAGACAGCCCCCGTCCACCCGTCCACCCGTGCAGTGCAGGACACCCTCAGGCTGTGAGAGCAGATGCCACACAGAGGAAGGCCCCAGGTCATGCTGTCCCCTCTCTCAGGGGGGGCCACAACCTGGTGCTGAATCTGCAAGTGTCTCTGCTTCTCCCTCATCCCTGAGCATGGCCTGGCCTCCTGCAGAGCACGCACAGCCTTCAGGAAATGGGCCTGCCCTGTGGGGCACACTGCCCCTCACTGTGGAGAGCGGGCAGGACCACAGCCTCAGTATCCATCCCAGAGCCACCCTGGACTTTCTTCCAGTGTGTGGTGTCCGTGCCTGCTGGCCGTTCCTGACTTTGAATATCCAAGGCCACCGAGGCTGTTGGTCCCACAGATGAAGAGGCCTAGGCCACTGGGAGTCAGCAGCAGCCCACAGCCAGCACAGCTCCTCTGCCCTCCTGGCCTCCCCAGGGCTCCCCAAAGTGACCAGGAGGCCTTGGATTCATGGTGGGTGGGAGCGTGAGGTTCCCACAAGCTCTAGGATGAAGCAGCAGGCTGCAGAGCACAGGGGGGTGAAAGGCCCGTGCCCCCTGTCCCTGGAGGTGGCCTCAGACGGGGCCAGGTGGCCTTCCCCCTCCCACCCACCCCTGCACCTGGCCCTGGTCCTGCATGGGGCAGACACCCAGAGACCCTGGATGTGTGGGTGTGGGGGCTTCCCTCTGGCCCTTGGCCCTGAGATGTAAACCAGCAGGGACAGGTGAGCGTGAGCGTGGGGCTGGGGCTGGACAGGTCACACACACACAGGGGTTGAAGGAGAAAGGACCCAAGGGGGCAGCGGCCCGGCGCGTGTACTTTTTAACAAATGATAAGCTCGTGGAGAAGAGGCAAGACGTGGGGGTGTGGGCCGGGGCTGCAGCCACCGGGCAGTGACTCGGAGAGGGCCGGGACACCAGGGCGGGATCAGAGCTATCTGGCTTCCTGTGCAGACTCACTTCTGCCTCTGCTCCCAGCCACAGTGATGAGGACTTCCTCGCCCTGGAGCGGGAGGAGCAGGGCATTGCCAGAGGAGGCTCCCTCCCCAGGGGTGCTTCCCGCCTCCAGCCTGGACCAGGGGAGGCTGGGGCCAGGGAAGGAGGCTCAGCCTCGGAGCCCTCAGGCATCCTCAGAAGGCGGAAGGTGTCCTGGAACGTCAAGGATGGAGAGTGGCCTTTTAGGTCAGACTTCACTCCCTAAGTGTCCCGCGAGCAGGTGATGTGACTTGTGGGAAAGCACTGGAACTCCTAGACACACAACTGCTCTCGCTCACACGAGGCCCAGGAAGTCCTCCTGGCAGAAAGCACAACTCGCAGGAAGTTCACCCTCCCCCAAAGGGCGATGTGCCCAGAGCACCCTCAGGTGTGGCTGCAGAGCCTGGTCCCAGGGTGCCCCTGGCTGGAATCCTGGGTGGCCTTTCCATCCCCAGGAGGCAGCCAGGCTCGAACCTCCCTTATCCCTGTGGCTCGGGGACCCTGGGAGCAGCAGGTGGGCCTGGATCCCGCCAGCTGTGGCCCTCGCAGCAGGAGCCCCTCATCTGAAGAAGTTCCACTCCCGTTCCCCTCTCGGAGGCGAGCTGGCGACGCTGTCCTCTCCAAGGTTGTCTGGATCTGAGGAAGCAAGCCGAGGAAGGCCTCATGGTCGCCAATCACCACGTGGACGAGCGTGGTTATTATCTCTGTCCTACAGGACGCAAAGTGAAAAGGAACTCAGTCCCAGTGCTTGGGCCCCTCCTTTACCTAAACCCAGCTCCTTCCTAACCTTTGTGGGGATGGGTCCCCCACGCATGTCACCTCCCAGGCATGCACACACATACACAAACACCCTCCAACCCCAGAGACAGTAGGTTGTCTCCTCTACCTCCTTGTGATGGGTGGATAGGTGGATGGATGGATGATTGGTGGAAGGAGAATGAATTGGTGGATGGACGGTGGATAAACGAATGGAAGAAAGGATGGGTAGACGGATAGATGGATAAGGCTGGCTGGATGGATGGATGGAAGGAAGAAAGAATAGATGGGATAGTGATGAATGGTGGATGGATGATGGATGGATGGATAATGAGTGGAAGAAAGAATGGATGAAGAGTTGGTGGAGGATGGATGGATGGAGGGATGGATGGTGGATGGATGGGAGGACAGGTTGTAGATGAATGGATGGGTGAAGGTTAGTGGATTGCATGTGCTGATCAGTTTGTCTTAGACCTTCTCAAAAAGCAATTTGTCTACATGGTGGAAAGATTTCAAGATTCCCTGTAACAATAGTGGCCACGGTGGGGGTGCTCTGCACCTCCAGTGCATGGAGTCCTTGGGTGCACTCTGGTTTTGCCTTTACCCGTGGCAGCAGCAATAGGTGTCTCCCTCAACATCTGTTATCTCCCTTTGAGTCAGAGAGGCCCCAGGGAGCTACAGAAGGCCCCTGGATCTTTGTAACCTTCAGAACAGATGGTCCATGGAGGCCAGTGGGGGGGGGCTGTGAGGCTCACATCTGCGCTCTGACACCTGCTAGTAAGGTCTCAAGTGCCACCCTACATCTTACAGGGGACCAAGATCTGCTCCAGGGGAGCCACCTGGAGATGGGCCTGCAGACCCCTGAGCCACCAGCTTCTCCCTGGTCCAGCTGCTCCTTGGTGGAAGGGGTGGGACCACTCAGAGATGGGCCGTGAGGGAGCCACAGGCACCTTAGGTCCTCGGCCTGGCGATGAAGTAGCGTCTCCTTCTTTACCAACCACCTGTGGGCCTCGTCATATCTTGGGACTGTTTCCCCCGGAGCTGGTCTCTGCTAGGAGGGCTGGACAGGGAGACCCAAGGCTCCACGCGAGGTGCTCCTCGATCCTGCTCCCGGAGCCCCTCCAGAGCGCAGCTGCCTCTTCTCTGGAGCAGCTGGGGGAGCACTGTCCCCACTGCCGGTTAATCCCTGCCTCCTCCTAGCCTCACTCCAGGCACTGCAGGAGAAAGTCTCCGTGGCCTGGGATCTGCTGAACGACTCGGCCTCTGGCCTCTGGCCGAGGATGGCAAACCTCCCTTCCCAGAGTCCTTCAGGCCCTTCCTGCCCCTGGGCAGCCTGACGGCTCAGCTCCCTTTACCTGCAGGGACTGTCCAGAGAAAAGGAGGCCCTGGGGCCACAGCCTGAGACCCAACGCACCCAGCTCAGACCCCAGTAGCTGGGCCAGGGCAAGCAGGAGAGGCTGATCCGAGGCAGGAAGGTGGCTTGGGCAGGGGGTGCCACGGTGGGTTCCCACATGTCACCCAGAGGCCCAAGCGGTGCTGCTGGGAGGTGGGGGAGCCTCTAGGAGCAGGGCCTGGTAGAAGGAAGTTGGGTCATGGGGGGCGGGCCTTGCAGGGGATGCTGTGACCC